TGCTTTACCTAAACATTCAGAACTAGTATGCAGTTGTTAATATCTGTGTACAAGCAGTAACACTCCAAAAGGTATGTTCTTTGACTATTAATTATATTTATATTTTACAAACAAATGTATAACATCTAACTAGAAGAACTATAAGTAAAAAGCAAATTTTTTTCAGTCTAGAGAAGGTTAAATAAACCAAAACGTTAGAATAAACAATAGTAGTTGTGTAATTATTTGACCGCCACCGTGAAAAAAAACTGCATAATTTAATAGTAACGGTCAGGAATCTAACTTAAACTGATTATGTTATGTTCTCTCACCTTAGTAAAAAGTAGCGTTCTAAAGTTCATCAGTGTATTGAGCAAACCAAATCTAGGAATGATACCACTGCAGACTATTTGTTGTTTCAGTGACTTCCAAATTAATTTCCAATTGCCTCCCATTCTCAGGGCCAAAATTAACTGCATAATGTTGCAAGGCGAAGATGTCAAAAGCATCAAAATTAACTGCAGTTTTCCTTCTCATTTGTTCGTTAGACAATCTATAGAAACGGGAAAGAAGAAGTAATTAATTACCACTTTCTAAAACGCATTGTTTAAAAATTCTCTATTGAAGCAAGTTAGAAATGTCTAAAAGATAGAGGTGTCTGGGATCTCATTTATTATTTCTAATTGATAGTTACTTACCAGTTCACTGTCACGAATATTTTCTACAGCAACAGCACACTGTCTTTTTATTCCCAATGGAAAAAAGGCACTTCCATGCTTTCTTTAGGACCATAAGTACACATCTACTTTATGGAGCAAATGAGGAGTGATACAACAGATGCTCCTTAATTTAATGGCATCTGGTGTTTTCTAATGTTCCTATAAAATGAAATCAATGAAAAAGCATTCAGATACAATTAGTTTAGCTTCCCTAGTTAAAGTAATGTTCAACCGTTTTTTCTGTTAATATCAAATAAACACACTACATACACTACACATAATACAATAATTTTAAGATATGAAGATACATTTATTGTAGCACTTTTGTAAGAAACTTTTTTTGATATCCAACTTTAAAGCAGTTATTGAAGAAACCCGCTTGCTTGGGACACTCTGTATAATATAGTATGTATGCTCACCTTAATTAACTACAAGTCTCCAAGATGATAACTTAACAGATAAAACACCATAGGAGACGACTTGCTTTTTCAGTGGCATTAAAATAAACTTCAATCTTCTCACTCATTTATCTTAGATAGAATCCGTAGAAATAGAGAAATAACAATATATAATGAAATAGAATAAAAATACTTACAAAAGAGCAAGTAAAATTGTAAAATTCTTACTTTTAAAATGGCGATGAGGAATGTCTTCTTTCATAGATGCATAAAATTCATAGAAACATCTATTACGCCGAAAATTTAATTTATTCTGCAGATAATTGCGAAAAATAATAATATACAGTATGAGTCAATCAATCTGATCTTTCAAGATATTCCACGTAGAAAAAAATTAACTCGGCAAGTTGAATTTAAAAGACGCGAACAAGACATCCTACCCCTGTGGTTTAATTTATACGTAATCAAATCAGATGATTTCTTAGTTAAATAAACTCTTCTTATTATCGTTTATTTATCTAGTTTAGTGATCTTAAACTACACATTATGACAAAAATGTTAAATTTGTGCGAATTGCATACTTTGACACGGTTAAAAAAATAAAGAATACAATCAACAAAACAAAAANTAAATTGTTCTAAAAATGCTTAGTATTCATATTTTTCCATTTATAAAGAATATCAGTAATATGTTTTAAAAACATGGAATTTAAATACAAGCGTTTAATTTAATGTAGACATCTTAATACAAAGGCCATTTTTCATGCTTTTCAGTTTTGCAAAAGCACAAAATCTTAAAAACAAAGCTTTACACTTATTATTTTTATGATGATGCACAAATACACCGATTTTACTCTACTTCTACAAAAAGATTGATTGGAGTACCACAGAACTTGAACTGAATAAATACTAAATATCCAAAATTCCACAAAATGTTTAGACACCTAAAATACGTTTCGACACTGCTCTTTAGCTGAGAATACAGAAACAAAAAAGTCTGGATGAAAAAGAGTGTAAGGCACGGGTGTAAATTCAGTGCGCAACTGTTAAATATATATATTTAAGTGATTTACAGAAAGAAAAAAAGTAAGATAAGGGAGGGAGAAATAACCATAGGATGATATCCACGAATTATGGTTCTTTGAAAAAGATGAAGAAGGGTTTGGAAAGATACTCAAGAAGGAAGGGATTGGAGTTAAATCCTAGGAAAACGAAGTCTATGGAATTTGGGAAAATGAGAGGGAGAAATGATAGGGAAAAAAGGAAATGAGATAGAGGGGGTAAAGTAATATAAAAAGTAAGAAAATGTACGGATCTGGGCTATGCAATAGGTAAAGTAAGAGGAAAAGGTTATTGAATGAACAGAAACAAGTAGAAAGCAAAAGAAATATACATATAAGATAGTTGTTGAATTTAGATAGAGGGACATCCGATTATGCGATTAGGAAAGAAATAAAATGTGGGAACAGGAAAGCAGAAAAAGGGAAGTCAATTATCAGAAGAAATTAGAAAATTCGGCTGATAGGGATACAAAAAAAGGGGTACGGGGAAGAATTGTAAAAATCGAAATAAAAAATTGATATGACAAAGAAAGGAAAGAAGTCTTGAGAGAACTGAATGTGAATCAGAAACATGAACAAGTAAATCAAGATGTAGAACATCTGAGGGTCATAATTTCAAAGACAATAATATGAAGTGGATGTGATGACAAGATTTAGAGTGGGAAATAGAAGCAGAGGGTGAATGTTTCGGATGAAGGAGGACGAAAGGCAATGTAGGATATGTGAAAGGGAGGATGAAACTTTAATGCACATTTTGAAGGAATGTAATAAAAGTAAATAACAGATGAGAGAAGTAATGGGATGGTCCTTCTGAAAGAAATTGTGAAATTAAGAAAAATTTTAATTTCAAATTGTCAGAGTAAGATTGAATTTTCACACTTCTAGCTTTACAATCTTTCCCTATATACTCGTATTCCTAAAATGGTTTTCATCATATAAAGCAAAATTTCAGTACCAAAATATATCGACACAGGCATGTGATTAGTTTTAATATAAGGCATTGGTAAAAAAAATAATTTACACATTTTTAGTTCATAGTACCTAAAAAATCTTTCGTAGGTATACGACTTAAACGCATGATTTTAACACCTTCCCTCTTACAACCTCAATAACCATAAATATACACGAGTTACTTTATATGTGTAATTGTTTATATCGTTTGTAAATAATAATATCAATTATGAACTTTCAAGACTTACCTTGTTTGATTTTTGTCGGACAATAACATGAACAAAGAAAGTACATTCAAACGATCTCACAAACAACACATTAACGCGTAACCTCGACTACTGTAATTATTAATGTTCTGTTGTGTTATCCCCTTCAGTTCGTCATAGTTCGTTAATCTTCGATATACCCGAAAGTGGTGTAATATACACAGCTTTTTATTGGTTGTATTTCAATTTAATTTTACAAGATTCAGTACTTTGCGTTATGCAACCCATTTTACAGGCGATTACATGTTGTTGTATAATCACGAGCTACAAGCATGCTACAAGCTTTGACATTACTAGAACCCATATTTTAAGAAGCAGAAATTTGAAACAATTTTAAAGAGCTGCTCTGTTGTTCGTGAACATAACAAAAAAAACATTTCAAACCAACCAAGGAACCCATGTTTTCTGACTACTTACAAGGAAATCCTGTTAAAACAATAACACAAAAATGAACAAAGTATGTAACAAAATGTGTGTCTTAATTTAGTACCATGCATTGTTTTAATAGGTTCCACGATATTTTGAGAAAGTAGAAGATTCAAATGAAACTCAAAATAAAGATATTAAACCGAAAAAAGAATTTAAGAAGGATATTGTGTTTAATATTGACGTGAAACCAAAACCATGGGGTCGTAGAAGGGAAGATAATCGAATCAGAAAGGTAAAAACTGTTCCAAGTTACAATCAAACTTTCTTTTCATATTTTGCCTTTGTTAGGAACAAAGAAATCCAAATAAAATAAGTAGAAAGAATGTTAAGTACAGTGCTAATACAAAACCAAAACTATGGGATCATAGAACAAGAGATGGTGGAGTTAAAAAAATCAAATATGTTCCAAATCCTAATCCTAAGTTTCCTGGTCGTGTTCCCATACCTAAACAAAAACTACAGAGGCATAGTAGAGGTGAAGGCATAGAGAAAAAAGGAATTCGAACAGGTGTGCACAGGAAGAGATTTGAAAAGAAAGAAAAAAATATTAAATTAGCAACTGAATTAGCAGCCAGAGCTGAAATTCTGCTTGCTGAAGACACAGGGTAATTATATGTTTAATCATTGAAGTTTTGCTTGATTTTAACACTTTAATCTTAATAGTTTTCTAGAAGTAGATGCTGGTGAATCGAGCACTCAGTTTACACAGAAAGAGATTGCAGCTAGTGTTGATATTATATCAGCTACAAAATACTTTGAATTACATCTGCATGAATTCGGCCCCTATCGTGCGAAATATACTCGAAATGGAAGACACCTGCTTTTGGGTGGTAAAATGGGGCACGTTGCCGCGTTTGATTGGATGACAAAAAAATTACACTGTGAAATAAACGTAATGGAAACAGTACACGATATATGTTGGCTGCATGTAGAAACAATGTTTGCAGTCGCCCAGAAAAATTGGGTTTATGTATATGATAATGAGGGGATTGAATTACACTGTCTGAAAAAACTTAATAAAGTGTCTAGAATGGAATTCTTGCCATATCATTTCATTTTAGCAACAGCTGTAAGAGTTTTTCCTGCTTATTTTCTATTATGTTGATCTTTTAAATTAAATTATATTTTTTTTTTCCTTTTAAGAGCGAGGTTGGGTACTTAAGTTGGTTAGACATTTCAATTGGTCAAATTGTAGCACAATACAATACAAACATGGGTCGTCTATCTATAATGGCTCAAAATCCTCAAAACGCTGTTTTATGCTTTGGGCACAGTAAAGGAGTTGTGACTATGTGGGCACCTTCATCTAAACAGCCCCTTGTTAAAATGCTCTGCCACAAGTCACCATTAACTGCACTCCATATTGATCCCAGAGGAATGTGAGTTATCATTTTTGCCACTTATTCAATTTGTAATGGCTGAGAACATACTGTTTATTATTATTTAGATACATGGCAACTGCTGCCATTGATAAAAGCATTAAAGTTTGGGATGTAAGACAACTAGGTGAACCTTTGCAAAATTATACTGTGAGGTCTGCTGCTGAATGTATCAATTTCTCTCACACAAACATGTTGGCCCTGGGAATGGGAAATATTATCGAAGTTTATAGGTATAATGAAGTCAGTATTTAAATTCATTTTAAAATTATTTATTTTTATTTATTATCAAGGGATTGTTGTACTAAAACTGCAAAAAGAGCTTATCTGCGGCATCGACTGACAGGCTTTGTGAGCAATATGGATTTTTGTCCATTTGAAGATGTTCTTGGAGTGGCTTCTTCGAGGGGCTTTACAAGTTTGCTGGTTCCCGGTGCCGGGGAACCTAACTTTGACGCCAGAGAAGCGAATCCCTTCCAAACAAAAATGCAGAGAAAAGAGGCCGAAATCAAAGCCTTACTTGAAAAAGTACTTATAATGATTATAAACGTCTCTTGTTTCATATAAATACATTTGTACTTTTTATTTAAAAGTTATATTTCAATAATTCAATATCTATTTATTTATTTTATTACTTTAGGTTCCTGCTGACCTTATATCACTGGATCCAACAAGAATTGCGGAAGTTGACATTCCAACACTTCAGGAAAAAGTTGAAGCAAAGAAAAAACTTCTGGTAAATTTTTACTACATATTTCAAAACTTATATTAGATGTATTAAATTTTCGTTTTATTTTTTTAGTATCTTAAACCTCCAAAAATTAATTTCGAGTCGAAAAGAAAGGGTAAAGGTAGAGGAGGAACAGTTAAAATGGCCAAAAAGAAGAAAATCGTTCAAGAGCAGGCCAAAAAGGTAAAAAAGTAATTCTTTAACTGTCACTGATACAAAATTTGCTTTTATTTTATATTTAATACAGGAATTTATTAAGAAGACTAAGAATAGTATATCGACTTTACAAAATAATAAGAAGAAGAAAGAAAGCCAAACTACTCCAAAGAGTGTTTTAGATAGATTTCTACCAAAACCGACGTAAAAAAGAATTTCCTGTCAATAACTATTTTTTCAAACATTTTCATTATAATTACAAATAAATTTTATAAAAAACTAAATGTTTGCTTTTTAATAGATGTATACGTGGTTTATAAATATTTTATCAAATACTGACACCCCATATTGTAATAAACATTTTAAAGAAATTTTCGATCTAAGGTATGGATAATTCTAAAAACTGTACAGCAATTTTGTAAAATGGCGTAAAAAATCCCCTATTCCCGAATTCTACCTTACTCCTGAATTGTTATCAAAAAGACGGATAATGCTAGTTATTGTTGTGTTTTGTGTAAATTAATGAAAAGTAATACAAGAATTTTATGGCATAAAAACAATAACTTTATTTTGTTTGTAACCAAAAACATGTTAACACAATCAACTGACTGAACAGGTGTGGTTATACATTATTTTAATAGTATTATTTACAAAAGTTTAAGGCGGTATCACATTTTTCTGTGTTTAATTAAAAAACCTGGTGTGAAAGAAGAAATAAACGTCACNAACTGTTTAATAAATATAAGTTATAAAGAAGAAACTGCTTTACCTTGAAAACGATAAAATATTTAAATATTTGCAAGTGGACACGTTAGGAAATAAATTATAATTAGATTAGTTGATAAAGCACCTACATAAACAAATTTTTGTGGTAAGTCTATATAATTCAATAAAAAGAGATTGTTCTGATTTGTAGTTTATCAATTCTTTCTGTACTCCTCAATCTTCCTAGTTGAAATGTAAGACAAATAAAACAAAGGTTTCTGATCTCATCAAAAATATGCAAAAACAGCAACCTCTATGTCGAAAAATTTACCTCCTGCAAATTCAAATTTTGTAAATTACGACCTGAAATGTGGAATGAACTTTTTGTTTATCACATTGTTTTCCTTTATATTTGTTATGTTAATATTAAAAAAATATATACGATATTTACGCTCTAAATATATTTTAAACGCTCGACAAAGTCGTAACTTAACGTAATAATTAATAGATTTAAGGTAAATAAAAATGCAAAGTGAATTGAAACTGCTATATTTTAACAAACTAGCGGTTCATTAAAAAAAAAAATGAAATAATTCTTTTTCAGTCTCTTTTCTAAAGACAACAAAAATAAACACACGTATCGAATTTTATCTTGCGACGCAAAAAGAAACAAATAGGAACAATCTCCCCTAAAACACAACAAACGGCACAGTAGCAGTGGAAACCTGTTGTCATTATAATAATTATTAATTATTATTATCGTCACCATTATTACAAGTATTATTATTAAATCAACTGTGACGAATGCTATCTTTTATTATTTTCTTTTTTTTCGATTTGAAACATGTTTTTTTTTTTGAATAACGCAAAAAACTACTTATTCTTTTAAATTCCTTCGCTATTAGAAAAACTAGAATTGCTGGATGAGTTGCTGTCAGAACCTCGCGTAGCAGCAGAGCTCATAGGGCTGCCTGACCTGTTGGCAGGGTTTTGAGCTGCTTGGAAAAGCTGCTGTAGCGTAGTAAGAGTAGTGCCTGAAATAATTCACAGCCAAATCAGAAACCACTAACCTTTGATACCGATTGAAGAACTCAAAAAACAACAATAAAAGGACAAAAGCATATATCCACTGACCTCCAGAAGCCTGGTTATCAGCATTCTGTGAGCCATCATCGGAACCTAGATTCTGCCTACAGATGGGACAAGTACCATGAAGTTCTAACCATGGTCTTATGCAAGGCTCATGGTACACATGCTGGCATGGCAACTGACGCACATTTTCACACAACTCAAAATCTTCCCAGCATACAGAACACTGCAGTTTTGATTCGACCTGCAATTCTGTTATTTCAACCACAGGTAGGGCGTCTATTACATCTTTGGATAACGGGGGAGGTCCTGAAATAAAAGTAATCACTGTAAATTCGGAATGGAAATGATATGTTTTCTCAACAGTTTTTATAAATCAAAGATGAACATGAACTACAATAAAATTTTCGGGTAAGAGTATGTAGTATTTAGTTTTCAGACGAGGCCCAAAAATAAAAAATAACAATAAGAATGAAAATAGATTTACCACAGCCATCCATTTGATTCAACAGTTGAGTGACAATGGCATCGAGTCCTTCTCTGCCCCAAGCATAATCTCCTGGATTGCCTAGAAATACTTGCATGTTTCCTCCGCCCCCAAAATTAACTCCCACACCCAAGTTAACAATGAACTCTGATATGAGATCCTCAAATTGCGTACCTGGACGTGAATTGGTTGTAGCCAGTCTTGGTGAACTCCTGCATATTAAGAATTTATTAGTAATTTTAAATATTTGAAATGTGTTTTTCATGTTTGCAGAAAGTAATAATACAATTTGGACTTGAAAATTTTCATTTTAGGTTGCTAAATAATTGATAACACAGAAATCTTTAAAAGAATTTATATGAAATAACTTTAGCCAAGGTTTTAAAATAAACGTGTACTATTTTCTAATAAAGCGATGGCAAAGTGCTTCATAAATCATCAGAAAAGATTTAGTTCATAAAAAAAAGGTTAATCATACATTCCATACTATAGCTAGTCACTCATTAACACATACTTTCAATTATGTTTGTAAGTAGTACTAGTGTACTAGTATCATTTAGGAAAATATTTGTTACTAAAACTCCTGTTAAAGTAGAATATATAGAATTATTCATTTATAATTACTAATGTGAACTATCTTGAAAAAATCAAAATAGAAATGCATTATTCTATCTCAAGAAAATTAAAACTAAATATAAAAACAAAAATAATTTGTTAACATGGTACCGATTTGTAAATTAGTTTTGCTAAGAAACTGTAGCATATAAAGCAAAGATGAATATTCTTAGGACTACAATTTTACTAAATTTAATCATTTTTAATAGTACCTATTTCTAAGCAATTTCAACTGCAGGGTAAATTCATTGAATTAAAAAAATATAAACCTATTAACGAATATNAGAGTATTGTGTAAAATCCAGCACAACTTTAACGTAAAAGATTAATAAATTTGTAAAATTTTTGTCATTCCTTAAACATGTTCTCCTAAACTCCTATTTAATCAGTACTTTATACTATTTTATACTAATTTTCATTATCGAATAGTCTTATAAAAGATTGTTAATAAAGGAATAGATTATCTACCTACAAATTATGAGATTATTAATTTACACAGTTCCGAATTTTGGAATTTTAACGCTAAGACGTATGTACTTTACCGTAACAATTCAAAGAGACAGTACAATACATAAAATGTCCCCTGCAGCTCCACTTTGTAACTGTATACGAATAAATAAAGCACAACCTAGGTACTTACCACCCATTTTACCGATTTAAATTTGTATAAGGGATAACAATGCGAAGATGATCAGATATGGCGAGAAGTACCACAAATGTATGTATTTAGTGGTTGTGGCGGTTTGTCAGCTATCGGACCACTGTTGGAACCACTTAAGAGGAACATGCACTTATTTGCAAACAATTTGATGGCATATCGGGTCAATTATGTTCGCCCGTTTGCTTTCTAAGTGGTAATTACAAAGATTATTTTTGTTCAAACAGTTTGTGTATGGTTAGTTAGTTACCCATCCATTTTGTTTGAATCTGGAACTACTAATATGATGCAGCTGCTGCTGTAATATATCAAAACTGAAAGAAAATGTTTAAAAATTTTAGTTTCTGCAGTTTCATAAATAAGGAAGGGGGGCATACTTTGACACTCATTTCTAAATAATTTTTTGGACATAAAAGTTAAAATAATAAGTTAACTATTTGAGTCAAATATAAAGGGGATTGACTATTAGTTGACATCTTGGGTGTTTAAAGAAACAATAATTTAATGTTTTATAAATTTTATTTGTGTGGAATATCATTTGCCTTCGCTTGACACCACCCGCCATTATTTTAAAACACTTTGTACATTTTATTTTTACGTACCTGCGTCACGTAATTGATAGTAAACATTTTTAATTGAATACAATTTTGCTGATTACTACACATGCATAGAGACATCAGTTGCAATTCAATTTATTTATGTATTTATTATTTAATTGTAATGAAAAATAAAGACAATATACAGTTTTTAATTTTTCCTGTTTTATTCTGTTTGTTTTCAATTATTTTTCATTATGATCCTATTTAATTGTTTTGTATTCAATAACACCCTAGGGGTTCCTCTTAATCTATCCATCGGTGCGATAGTGGGGTGGCTATAAAACCGGACCAACCCCCTGGTACACTAACAAGAAGTTGCCGGTGCCTTTTTGAGTTGAGTTTGTTTTCTTTTGAGAATCCACCATATAAAACTTACAGAATTTATACTTATTTTTAAATTTAAATTCTTAAGTCTATTATTTTTTTCTTTTAATTTACGAAATGGAGGAACCACAAAAAAGTTGTGCTACAAAAACAAATTTCTCAATTGAACACATTCTTAAATTTGCTGGAAAATCTATTTCTTGTTATACCAAGTGTGATAATCACAGTCGAAATGAAAGTTTAGAGATTTTAAAAATGTAATATTTGAACCAATCAAATGTTTTTAATTAAACCATTTTTCAATCAATTTATAATCTTTAAAAATTACCTTTTAAAACTATGGATGGTTAAAGAGATAATGAGTATTGAATCTTCTCTACAATTATTATATATTAAACAATCATAACGATTTTTATTAGATACAAAGTTCCTCTATTCCTATTTACTAAAGTCTCCAATTGGTGGTGTTTTAATTTCTTTTGATATTCTGAATCTGAAGTTGTATGGGCGTCTCATTATTTTACAAACCACTCGGTAGATACGGCAACGTATTAATTTTCCCATCTTGTGCCCCGTTTACACGCTTTGATGAGCAAATATATTGACGCAATAAGTATTATTATTATAAAAGGGTATCAGTATCAGTTACTGATTCTTTTTCAAATTCAAAAGAAGAAGCACGAGCTATAACAGTGCAGCGGTCCCTTTGGTTCCGAAATAGTTGTATGGACTCCTGCTGTGGTGTCGAATAACAATGGCATTATGTGCGTAATGTTTGTGGTATACCTTACAGCTTCCAATCTCCTTTATGAAATGTGTAGTACAGCATTAAATATTTATTAAAGATCAGTGAACAAGCACACCGCCCTTTGCCACACTGCTCATTTTGCCACTGTCGAGAAATTCTTATGCACCAGCAGATATTGTTAATATCAGAGTAATGGGTACCTAGGTACCTAAGAATGGCTACCGGTAACACTCATAATTAACAATAAAAAAGATTTGTAAGAGGTACCATCAGATAAACGAGTTTTAAAAAAGTATTATGTAAAATCCAGCACAACTTTAACGTAAAAGATTAATAAATTTGTAAAATTATTGTCATTCCTTAAACATGTTCTCCTAAACTCCTATTTAATCAGTACTTTATACTATTTTATACTAATTTTCTTTATCGAATAGTCTTATAAAAAATTGTTAATAAATAAATAGATTATCTACCTACAAATTATGAGATTATTAATTTACACAGTTCATTTTGCCACTGTCAAGAAATTCTGGTACCGATTTGTAAATTAGTTTTGCTAAGAAACTGTAGCATATAAAGCAAAGATGAATATTCTTAGGACTACAATTTTACTAAATTTAATCATTTTTAATAGTACCTATTTCTAAGCAATTTCAACTGCAGGGTAAATTCATTGAATTAAAAAAATATAAACCTATTAACGAATATAAAAATTAAACATGCAGAATAAATTGCTATAAGATTATTACATTAAAAATGTTTATTTCAAACCTCGGTCTAAAAATCCCTGGATGTGTCTGAACAGCATACCTTCTCCTTATGGCATCATTAACAAATCTTTGTCCAGTATGATGGTCTTCTGGCCCAGGGGCAAAAATAATATCGGCAATATCCATGGGGTAACTATGCAGCATCTAACAAACAGCAAAATATTAAACTCATGACTCAATAATATTCCAGTTGACAACTAACATAATAAGGTTCATCTTCATCAGATGCATCAACAATGCCTTCAGGATTTTCTGTTCCGGCTTCGAGCTCCTCTATAAAACCTCCAGAACAGTGTGGACAAGTGAAATTCTAGAAAATGTTGATGTAATAAAAATTGATTAGAATGTTATTGGTACTCACAGCTGACGCATTTTGAAATTGTACATTACAGATGTGACAGTAAAATCTCTGGCTGGGACGTTCTTCCACTGCTGCTTCGGCCATTTGTTATGTTGAAATCAGTTGAAATTAAAAACTATTGATTTAATTTTATGAAAATGTCAATTGTGATGTTTTAAGGTTCAGGGACACCGCCATTAGTCAAGTGAAGTAGAGAAGAATCATATTATATTCATTTGATTCAACGTAGAAATACGGCGCAATAGTACAAATCACACAAACACTTCACAAGAAGGAAGAAAAATGAATGTGGGTTTGTTGGAGATTGATACGTATAAATAGCAGCAACTGGTGACTTTTTGTTTTCTCAACATTAGGAATTAAATAAAANGATTGACTATTAGTTGACATCTTGGGTGTTTAAAGAAACAATAATTTAATGTTTTATAAATTTTATTTGTGTGGAATATCATTTGCCTTCGCTTGACACCACCCGCCATTATTTTAAAACACTTTGTACATTTTATTTTTACGTACCTGCGTCACGTAATTGATAGTAAACATTTTTAATTGAATACAATTTTGCTGATTACTACACATGCATAGAGACATCAGTTGCAATTCAATTTATTTATGTATTTATTATTTAATTGTAATGAAAAATAAAGACAATATACAGTTTTTAATTTTTCCTGTTTTATTCTGTTTGTTTTCAATTATTTTTCATTATGATCCTATTTAATTGTTTTGTATTCAATAACACCCTAGGGGTTCCTCTTAATCTATCCATCGGTGCGATAGTGGGGTGGCTATAAAACCGGACCAACCCCCTGGTACACTAACAAGAAGTTGCCGGTGCCTTTTTGAGTTGAGTTTGTTTTCTTTTGAGAATCCACCATATAAAACTTACAGAATTTATACTTATTTTTAAATTTAAATTCTTAAGTCTATTATTTTTTTCTTTTAATTTACGAAATGGAGGAACCACAAAAAAGTTGTGCTACAAAAACAAATTTCTCAATTGAACACATTCTTAAATTTGCTGGAAAATCTATTTCTTGTTATACCAAGTGTGATAATCACAGTCGAAATGAAAGTTTAGTGCAACAGGATAATTCTTTTTCGCAGACGTCATTGTCCTGGTTATCCTGCACAAGATATTGTCCACCACGAATTCCTAGTAAGTTTCTATATTTCAATATTAATAATTAAACTTGCTGCGTTTTTTCATTATTTTCTATTGTACATTTATACAAACTAATTTTCAAATTATAACTATCAGGAGTACAAAAGGAAAATGGTCTAAAAAAGCGCCGCGTTGGACGCCAAGCACGAATCCCGTTTACCAGCGAACAATTGAAGACGTTGGAGGACTATTTTCAAAAGACTCCCTATTTAAATGCAGTTGAAGTCAAACAAATTTCATCTGCCTTACATCTTGGAGAGAACAGGGTAAGTACAAATAAATAAATAATTTTTTGTTCACTTGAAAAAATTTAGCGACAAAGTGATTTTTAAACTCCAAACTCGAAAATAATTCCATGGTGCAATTCTACACTCGATTTTACAAGAACTAGTCGGGCAAATGAAATTATTGGGAGTCGAAAGAGTATAAGAGTTTTTCTTAAGTTTCCAAAAGTGATAGTTATGTAAAAAAGTAAGTAGAATTTCATGGTGTTAATAGTTTTCGAGAGCGGTTCCAAAAAGGTACATTCCGACATTATGTTTGTTCAAATATATAAAATAACTTAAACATAAAAATGCGCTCGTGAAATTATTTGAAAATGGAAGGTGTTTATTAAGCTTTAAGAAGTGATAATTATGTAAAAACGTACGTAGAATCTCGTGGTGCCAACAGTTTTCGAGTGCGATGTCAAAAAAGTACATTCCGGCGTATCTTCGCTAAAGTATATGATATAATTTTAACATTAAAAAGCGCTCGTGAAATTATTTGGAGATGGAAGGTATTTATTGAGCTTTAAGAAGTGATAATAATGTAAAAAAGGACGTAAAATCTCGTGGTGCCAACAGTTTTCGAGTGCGATGTCAAAAAGGTACATTCCAGCGTTATCTTCGCTAAAGTATATGATATAATTTTAACATTAAAAAGCGCTCGTGAAATTATTTGGAGATGGAAGGTATTTATTGAGCTTTAAGAAGTGATAATAATGTAAAAAAGGACGTAAAATCTCGTGGTGCCAACAGTTTTCGAGTGCGATGTCAAAAAGGTACATTCCAGCGTTATCTTCGCTAAAGTATATGATATAATTTTAACATTAAAAAGCGCTCGTGAAATTATTTGGAGATGGAAGGTATTTATTGAGCTTTAAGAAGTGATAATAATGTAAAAAAGGACGTAAAATCTCGTGGTGCCAACAGTTTTCGAGTGCGATGTCAAAAAGGTACATTCCAGCGTTATCTTCGCTAAAGTATATGATATAATTTTAACATTAAAAAGCGCTCGTGAAATTATTTGGAGATGGAAGGTATTTATTGAGCTTTAAGAAGTGATAATAATGTAAAAAAGGACGTAAAATCTCGTGGTGCCAACAGTTTTCGAGTGCGATGTCAAAAAGGTACATTCCAGCGTTATCTTCGCTAAAGTATATGATATAATTTTAACATTAAAAAGCGCTCGTGAAATTATTTGGAGATGGAAGGTATTTATTGAGCTTTAAGAAGTGATAATAATGTAAAAAAGGACGTAAAATCTCGTGGTGCCAACAGTTTTCGAGTGCGATGTCAAAAAGGTACATTCCAGCGTTATCTTCGCTAAAGTATATGATATAATTTTAACATTAAAAAGCGCTCGTGAAATTATTTGGAGATGGAAGGTATTTATTGAGCTTTAAGAAGTGATAATAATGTAAAAAAGGACGTAAAATCTCGTGGTGCCAACAGTTTTCGAGTGCGATGTCAAAAAGGTACATTCCAGCGTTATCTTCGCTAAAGTATATGATATAATTTTAACATTAAAAAGCGCTCGTGAAATTATTTGGAGATGGAAGGTATTTATTGAGCTTTAAGAAGTGATAATAATGTAAAAAAGGACGTAAAATCTCGTGGTGCCAACAGTTTTCGAGTGCGATGTCAAAAAGGTACATTCCAGCGTTATCTTCGCTAAAGTATATGATATAATTTTAACATTAAAAAGCGCTCGTGAAATTATTTGGAGATGGAAGGTATTTATTGAGCTTTAAGAAGTGATAATAATGTAAAAAAGGACGTAAAATCTCGTGGTGCCAACAGTTTTCGAGTGCGATGTCAAAAAGGTACATTCCAGCGTTATCTTCGCTAAAGTATATGATATAATTTTAACATTAAAAAGCGCTCGTGAAATTATTTGGAGATGGAAGGTATTTATTGAGCTTTAAGAAGTGATAATAATGTAAAAAAGGACGTAAAATCTCGTGGTGCCAACAGTTTTCGAGTGCGATGTCAAAAAGGTACATTCCAGCGTTATCTTCGCTAAAGTATATGATATAATTTTAACATTAAAAAGCGCTCGTGAAATTATTTGGAGATGGAAGGTATTTATTGAGCTTTAAGAAGTGATAATAATGTAAAAAAGGACGTAAAATCTCGTGGTGCCAACAGTTTTCGAGTGCGATGTCAAAAAGGTACATTCCAGCGTTATCTTCGCTAAAGTATATGATATAATTTTAACATTAAAAAGCGCTCGTGAAATTATTTGGAGATGGAAGGTATTTATTGAGCTTTAAGAAGTGATAATAATGTAAAAAAGGACGTAAAATCTCGTGGTGCCAACAGTTTTCGAGTGCGATGTCAAAAAGGTACATTCCAGCGTTATCTTCGCTAAAGTATATGATATAATTTTAACATTAAAAAGCGCTCGTGAAATTATTTGGAGATGGAAGGTATTTATTGAGCTTTAAGAAGTGATAATAATGTAAAAAAGGACGTAAAATCTCGTGGTGCCAACAGTTTTCGAGTGCGATGTCAAAAAGGTACATTCCAGCGTTATCTTCGCTAAAGTATATGATATAATTTTAACATTAAAAAGCGCTCGTGAAATTATTTGGAGATGGAAGGTATTTATTGAGCTTTAAGAAGTGATAATAATGTAAAAAAGGACGTAAAATCTCGTGGTGCCAACAGTTTTCGAGTGCGATGTCAAAAAGGTACATTCCAGCGTTATCTTCGCTAAAGTATATGATATAATTTTAACATTAAAAAGCGCTCGTGAAATTATTTGGAGATGGAAGGTATTTATTGAGCTTTAAGAAGTGATAATAATGTAAAAAAGGACGTAAAATCTCGTGGTGCCAACAGTTTTCGAGTGCGATGTCAAAAAGGTACATTCCAGCGTTATCTTCGCTAAAGTATATGATATAATTTTAACATTAAAAAGCGCTCGTGAAATTATTTGGAGATGGAAGGTATTTATTGAGCTTTAAGAAGTGATAATAATGTAAAAAAGGACGTAAAATCTCGTGGTGCCAACAGTTTTCGAGTGCGATGTCAAAAAGGTACATTCCAGCGTTATCTTCGCTAAAGTATATGATATAATTTTAACATTAAAAAGCGCTCGTGAAATTATTTGGAGATGGAAGGTATTTATTGAGCTTTAAGAAGTGATAATAATGTAAAAAAGGACGTAAAATCTCGTGGTGCCAACAGTTTTCGAGTGCGATGTCAAAAAGGTACATTCCAGCGTTATCTTCGCTAAAGTATATGATATAATTTTAACATTAAAAAGCGCTCGTGAAATTATTTGGAGATGGAAGGTATTTATTGAGCTTTAAGAAGTGATAATAATGTAAAAAAGGACGTAAAATCTCGTGGTGCCAACAGTTTTCGAGTGCGATGTCAAAAAGGTACATTCCAGCGTTATCTTCGCTAAAGTATATGATATAATTTTAACATTAAAAAGCGCTCGTGAAATTATTTGGAGATGGAAGGTATTTATTGAGCTTTAAGAAGTGATAATAATGTAAAAAAGGACGTAAAATCTCGTGGTGCCAACAGTTTTCGAGTGCGATGTCAAAAAGGTACATTCCAGCGTTATCTTCGCTAAAGTATATGATATAATTTTAACATTAAAAAGCGCTCGTGAAATTATTTGGAGATGGAAGGTATTTATTGAGCTTTAAGAAGTGATAATAATGTAAAAAAGGACGTAAAATCTCGTGGTGCCAACAGTTTTCGAGTGCGATGTCAAAAAGGTACATTCCAGCGTTATCTTCGCTAAAGTATATGATATAATTTTAACATTAAAAAGCGCTCGTGAAATTATTTGGAGATGGAAGGTATTTATTGAGCTTTAAGAAGTGATAATAATGTAAAAAAGGACGTAAAATCTCGTGGTGCCAACAGTTTTCGAGTGCGATGTCAAAAAGGTACATTCCAGCGTTATCTTCGCTAAAGTATATGATATAATTTTAACATTAAAAAGCGCTCGTGAAATTATTTGGAGATGGAAGGTATTTATTGAGCTTTAAGAAGTGATAATAATGTAAAAAAGGACGTAAAATCTCGTGGTGCCAACAGTTTTCGAGTGCGATGTCAAAAAGGTACATTCCAGCGTTATCTTCGCTAAAGTATATGATATAATTTTAACATTAAAAAGCGCTCGTGAAATTATTTGGAGATGGAAGGTATTTATTGAGCTTTAAGAAGTGATAATAATGTAAAAAAGGACGTAAAATCTCGTGGTGCCAACAGTTTTCGAGTGCGATGTCAAAAAGGTACATTCCAGCGTTATCTTCGCTAAAGTATATGATATAATTTTAACATTAAAAAGCGCTCGTGAAATTATTTGGAGATGGAAGGTATTTATTGAGCTTTAAGAAGTGATAATAATGTAAAAAAGGACGTAAAATCTCGTGGTGCCAACAGTTTTCGAGTGCGATGTCAAAAAGGTACATTCCAGCGTTATCTTCGCTAAAGTATATGATATAATTTTAACATTAAAAAGCGCTCGTGAAATTATTTGGAGATGGAAGGTATTTATTGAGCTTTAAGAAGTGATAATAATGTAAAAAAGGACGTAAAATCTCGTGGTGCCAACAGTTTTCGAGTGCGATGTCAAAAAGGTACATTCCAGCGTTATCTTCGCTAAAGTATATGATATAATTTTAACATTAAAAAGCGCTCGTGAAATTATTTGGAGATGGAAGGTATTTATTGAGCTTTAAGAAGTGATAATAATGTAAAAAAGGACGTAAAATCTCGTGGTGCCAACAGTTTTCGAGTGCGATGTCAAAAAGGTACATTCCAGCGTTATCTTCGCTAAAGTATATGATATAATTTTAACATTAAAAAGCGCTCGTGAAATTATTTGGAGATGGAAGGTATTTATTGAGCTTTAAGAAGTGATAATAATGTAAAAAAGGACGTAAAATCTCGTGGTGCCAACAGTTTTCGAGTGCGATGTCAAAAAGGTACATTCCAGCGTTATCTTCGCTAAAGTATATGATATAATTTTAACA